AAAGTTTTATTTATTAACATTTGAGCACCCAATGTGGTTATCACATCATTGCCTAATTTTTTAGTTTCGAGTAACATTATAATAGGAAGGAATATGGTTTATAAAACTTTAATAATGAGAATATAATGTTATATTTTTATTAAAAGTAAGACTATGAGCCTGTTTGGTAACACTGAAATCAGTTGAATTGGTTAATTCTGCTGAAATTTATGATTTTTTTGCTGAAGTATTTGTGTTAGCTGATTCTGCTGGTTTATGAAAAAATTATATTTAAAGTATATTTTATTAATAAAATATAGAAAAAAATTAATTGAAAAATAGATAAAATGATCATCTCAGAAAAGTGACTACAATTTTACTTTTACTTATTATTACAAAATTCAGCGCGCGACATATATCAAAAGTCACGTATTTTTTTAAAATGTTGGCTGATAAGCTGAAAAACAGAGTCACCAAACGGGCTCTATATACATTTAGGAGGCCAAATTTTTATAATTTCTCTCTGTAATTCATTTTTTTTAAAAAAATAACAAAAATGCAAAAGGTGAAGCTACGTGGCATAAATAGAGCAATGTTATCTAACTCTGGCAGATAGACACGTTACATAATAATTGAGGTGAAATAGTATTTTTAATAGCCTAATCATATCCTTTCTTATATGTAAATATATACTCCCTCTGTCCCAAAAACAATTTCCCACTTTCCTTAAATGGATGTCCCAAAATTAACTTCACACTTTTTTCCACTTCCTTATTTGGCAAATTATCTACATCAAAACAGTGCTAAACAGTGCCAAACAGTGCTAATTAGTGTCAAAACAGTAAAATTTACCCCCCAATAAGTTTATTTCCTTAATATGTGTGGAAAACGAAGTGTGAAGTTATTTTTGGGACGGATGAAGTATAATTTTAAACATTATTATAGAGACCGTTAACAAATTATTTTTTATATATTCAATATTGATCTCATATGAAAGATCACAAAAAATTATGAATTTTGATATATATTTTAATTTGTAAAAATTAGAGTAAAAATGAAAAAGTTATAATACTTTAAAGAAAATCATCTCTCCACAGGCTGATCCAACTTCCTTTGAGGTACATTTTAAGTGAAAAAATGGCCATGTGTCATTTTTATAGAAAATGAGTAAATTAAGGAGAGCAAGACACATAAGATTCATTAAGGGTAAAATTGTCTTTAGATGAGCTATTTCTTTTCTTATATATAAATAGAATAGATTATTGTTTGGTACTAGTTATAATCATCTCTTCCCTTGGTTGAGATCGATGTGTGTGTGTCTAAAATGTTGCTATTCTAAGAGATTTTTTAGGTGCTGTTAAACACAAAATAAATAGTTATTATTATCTTCATTTAGGTCTATGGTGTTGTTGGTGTATTTACATTAAATTGCTCAATAATCGGTGTTATGCGCTAATACTTTGTTGCCTTCACATCATTAAAAAATATTTTCATCATGTGCAGTCTAATTCTAGTAGTATGGTGGCGCGCTGCATATCATGTATGAGGAGTTTATGAATAGCTATTGGTTTGAATATAAATCAATTGAGGATTTTTTTTCTCTTGGAGTTTTTTCCATTTTAATATGAAAGGTGTTTTGTATCTCTCTGTGAATCTTCTAATTTAAATTATAATTATATTTCTAAGGGTAAAAGAAATAAGACCCCTACTAGGTGGGTGTTCTAATTTCTAAATGGTGAAAACTTTTTAAATATGTTCACATTTTTAAGTTTACATTTTTTACTTTGGTCTTCTATTTTTTACTTGTGCTTTTACTTTTATGTTTTTTTTTACTTGTGCTTACTTCTATTCTTCAACTTTGTAGGTATTAAATGTTCAAGACCTTTAGTTACTCCATGGTTTTCGGTGACACAACTAGTGGCGTTTATATAAATTTATTGAATATTATTATATGACTATGTTACAATGATACATTATGTAATGTTTATTGAATATCGTTGTTGCTAGTGTTGTTGTTACTCTAACTCTGGACTAAAAAGTTCGTGCCTTTGATGTTCTTTCTGAGTTTGGTGGAACAAATGAAGCTTCTCATGGAACAGGCAAGTATTTCTACAATAATAATTAAGTGTTTTTACTCCATATTATTTCTGTTGGTATTGTTATTCATGGTGATGAAGGCGATAAGATTTATCTTATGTTTTGATTATCTTTTTATATAGGCTTTTAGCTTATATTTGTACTTATTGTATTTCATTTACTTCAACTGTTTACTAATTTGTTTACTTTCATTATATAACTTGTAGGCATTCAACATCTGAGATTCATTCAGTAAAGGAAGAAATCAATGAGACACTGAAGCAATGAGTATCATTTTTTGTGAAGTTATGACATAATTTGTACTATGTTGTTAAGTTGGACACAAATTTTGTTGAGGGTGTTCAAAATAACAAGTACTCCTATATGTATACACTTTGTACTTTTGTTAATTTATTATAATAATATATGTTGTTGATATTATCTTAGAACGTTAGGTTTTTTTGTTAATGTGAACTGGAGTGTAAAAAATACGAATAAAAAATGATAATAGTATTTGGATAAAGGGGTAGTAGTGTTGGGCAAAGTATAACATTTAATATGGGTTGTCATACAGATAGTCTTCCATAACAATTGTTTTTCACCCGATATCAAAACTTTTTCGTAACAATTCAAAATTACTCGTTATTAAAACCTTCCATAATGGTTCCTAAACTGATATTAAAAGTACCGGACTTTTAATAGGTGCTGCAACAATAACAGTTCTGAACCGTTATTAAAAGTCCATTATAACCGTTATTAAATTCATATTTTCCACTAGTGGATGGTATTTTGCATCGTATTTCATTATGTATAGATTTAGGTGATGACACAGTTCTTGTGTTTGTAATATTTGAGTGTTGTATTATAACATGTTAATAGTTATTTCAAATGTTTTTTATTCTATTTGATTTATTTCGGTTTGATCTATTTAGTTGTGCTCAAGTTATTTGTAAAACCAATAAAATTTAAAACTGAATTGAAAAACTTAAAACATTAGAATTGTACATGTTGGGGTATTGGCCCAACAATGCCAAGGGGAGAACCCGAATGGGTAACATGGGAGGTCGAGCGAGATCCAAATCGAGTAGTGGTTCCAACCAATTCGGGGCCTAGCCCAACAACTTCCAAGATAAAGCCCTACATCACGGTCGGGTGCCATATAGCACTATGGGCGACATAAACAACTTATATAACAACATGACGGAGGTGCTAAAATCGTACCAAAACGTTTGACCCAACCCCAGGGCAAGCGACCTTTCATACTTAAGCACGTTGCGACCAGGCTAATAGAGGTGTTACTACGATGGCGGGAATCCACAACTTTGGTGAGAAACACATTTAACACAAGGGGTGGCAGTCCCAATTATACAAGAATAGAATTTGAGAAAAATAAAGACTTTACGTGTTGGGTGTCTTGGCCTTATATTTATAATAATCAAGATACAAATATAAACTTAAAGAAAACTTATACTCCGTACTTTATTTCCACATGTTATCTACACTATAATCATAAATAAATCAAAGTCAACGTTATTTATTTGAAGTTTTCCCTAGAACTTTACGGAAATCAAATTTATGAACAACAATGCCCTAAAAATATTATGCGTAAAATTGAATGTAATCATCGCCACCAAAAGTTACCAATATAATCGTTTTATGCATTAAGTCATTTTTTATCCATCAACTCTATATTGATAATATGTGTGTAGTATGTGATTAATGGATTATTACTATTTATTTTTGCAACACTAATCATAAACCCTTTTACGGGAGGCTTTGTCCGGCTGTCGCCATTTGGGGCGGTTTCCGGTGGAATGTTTTTATGAAATTTTTTGAGCATCTTCTTCATTAAGTCTAGTTTACCCATACCAAATTGCAGCTAAAAATTCAATCGAGAAGGCAATCAAATGATTTTCTGAAATATATTGCGTTGTCTAACTGCGCAGTTATCTTCACAAATTCATTTGACTGCCTTCCAGATTGAATTTTTAGCTGACATTTGGTATGCGTAAACTAGACTTAATGAAGAAGATTCTAAAAAAAATTCATCAAAAAAATCCACCAGAAACCACCCCAAATGGCGACGGCCTGACAAAGCCTCATATAAAAGGGCTTATTTGCACTTTTTATGAAAGTTCAAGGACTTATTTGGTAGTTTTCCCAAACTTATCCATTGGGACGAGAACCTGCCCGTTCGAGCCAAAAAATATCAAATCCAAAACTCTCCCCACTATCTTTTTGACCCGGTCACGGACACGAACCAGAACCGCCATGTTAATTACCGATATAAAATATCACGCAATCCGAGTAGGGATGGACTAAACCGGCCCGGCCCGGCCCGCTACTGTGCGGGCCCGGACCGGACCGGGACCGGTTGGCCGGTTCCAGGCTTTTAGCCCGTTTGGGCGGGTCAGGCGGGCCGGGCTCGGGCCCTGTTTTGGGCGAACCGGGTCGGGCGGAGGCCGGGTCAATTTTTTTTTCAATTTTTTTTCCTAGGGTAGGGCTGGGTGTTTTGAGGAGGTTTGGGGGTGGGGTGAGGGGGGGGGGGATCGGGGGATAACAAGAAAGCAAAAAAAATGACATTGAACCGGGCCCGGCCCGGTTAGGCCCGGACCCGGTATCAACCCGGGCCGGTTCCGGGCCCAAGGATTTGCAAAAAAAGCCCGCCCGGCCCGGAACCGGACCCGGACCGGGTTCATCCCTAAATCCGAGTCCTATGATGGTATGACCATGTCACCCCTACTCAAAGCCCATGATAATAAATTAATTTGTCTCAAATCTATCTAGTCACAGACACAGAGATAAAACCTAAGCATTAGTGAGCTTCCAACTCAGAAAGTTAAATACTTACAATGACACCAAAGGTCCAACTCTTTACCATTTCATACCCTCAGACTCCCTCCTCTCCATACAAAATGGACAAAAAATAACTTTCAATCCCATACTCCGTATTTCTTATTTTAAATGAAAGTGACAAAGTTTTTGTAATGACGAAATAAAGAAAATTAACAAAGTATTATGGGAGTATTATATTTGCATGTACAAACAAATACGGATTATAGTTCTAAACATGGTTACACATGAACTGGTTGATCTAGGTAGGAATTTTTTTAGTCCGAACCCCAAAACCACCCACACAATTTTCTAACACAAGAACACAACGGGATTGCCTTGGCCCTTGTGTATAAAGATAAAAAACGTGGATGCTTTTGGGCGGGGTCTGATCCATTTACTTTGATCATAGATTCATAGCAGTCAAAACACACACGCCAATATTAGGCAGAGAGCAAAACAGCAATTCAAACAAATTAGACAAGAGATCACATTGATGAGGCTTTCTCTAGTCTGCTTTCCAGAGATCATTTTTACATGGCCGCCCCGGTTTCCCTTTTGAGTATGCCCCCATGCCTTTCCTTGGCGACACATCATCAATGACCCGGAAAATGCAGACGTCAAACACGCACAAACTGCTGCTTTCACTCACCAGGTTGAACAGACACACGTCATCTAGCTCAAGTGAGTTCTCTAGTGCAAAGTACTTCCAACCAGAACCAGACACCCCATGACCACTAGTTGCTTTCCGAAAATAGGCTTTCGCCATCCACGTTTTCTCCTTCATTCGCAAGCACACGTCAAAGTTTTTCTGAGGAAGATGTTTCCTTGACCACTCAACGGGGATTGACTGCACATCATTTCACAAGAAAATAAAGTTTAGGCTGAAATGGATGCATCAGATGGATTTTCTCGAAGGAGGAGAGTTTTTGGTAAGATTCACTTTGGTGAAGTATTCATCAAGGCAAAAGCTACAAAGTGCCCGGTTGGAGATCGTTGAAATAGCTGAATTGACTGAATGAGTTGAATTAAAAGTGTTTGGTGGATTTATTTGGTTAAAATGATTGCTTGGTTAAAAGGGGACAAAGTTGTCATTTCATGATAAAAATAAGAATCGGCATACAAAGTAGCAATAAGTCGATTTTTTGGCAAAAAACAAATCAGCAGAATCTGTCGCATGTTGGGTATTGGATGATTTTTCGGAATCTTTTCAGGCTTATAAGCCCTATTAGACATACCAAACATGTTTTGATAAGATGTTTTCAGCCAATTTAAGCCTTGCATAATGGGTTTTAACATATTAAAGACAAGAAATGAATGGATTTTCTAAATTTACAAAAAAAACATACCATATAGAAGCCCTTGTAGACATGGCATTCTTTCATAACCACAGTGAGGCTATCATCAGAGGCAGCTGAAAAAGCGGCTTGTATAGCCTTGTCTTTCTCTTCTTCAGTCACTGCTCTTCTGTTTGACTCCCATCGAAGAGGAGATGCATTTGACGATGGACCACTTCTATCTACGGTATCATATAAAGATTCCATCAATACGTACCCGAGACTGAGAATGAAATGAAGAAGAACCCCAACTGTTTTTTCTTTCTTCCCTACTTCTCCCTTATGCCAAAAAAAGAGAAACTCGCATTCTCTTCCCTATTTCTACTCCACAAACTACCTTAAATTTCAAACAACCAACCTCAATGAGCTGGGATTAAGAAGACATACCGACAGATTTCTTCTTTAGCTTCCCACTTGATTGATGATTCTCTTTAGGAGACATGCCATCCTTCCTTGGCCTTTTCACAACCTTCCTTTCATCATCATCCTCCTGTGATGATTCATTGCTTGTCGACTCAAGATGGATGGTTCGAGCTCGAGGGGTAGTTTTTTTAGTTTTATCGGCTCCCGTGAGTTCATTGTGTGCACATTGTTTTATAAAATATGAAGCCTCTTTCTCACATAAGCTCAGCTGATCAAACATGAAAACATCGAACTGCAGATTCCCGTTGTATTTGAAAACCAAGACATCATTTTTTTGGAGGGAATGTTCTTGAACAAATTTTTTCCAACCGCGCTTAAGGTAAAGGCTCTCGCCGTCTGATGCCAATCCCACTTCCCAAACAGAACCACTCGGTCCTTTGAGGCGGACAGTGCCTGCTAGCTTTCCTCGTAGATTTTCAGAAAATTTCTTCGGAATAGCCTGCAATGATTAGTAGTTCTACTTTTAGCATGTACTCTGTATTAATTTATATGTAATACGTCTAATAACAGGACAAGATGATAATGAAAACACATGGGGTAAAATAAAGGTTCACTCTGTAATTAGCATGACCTTAATTGCATAAGGAACACTCTTCACTAACCACTCTATATTCAAAATGAATCTTTTTAATGATATCTTGATTTTCTGATCAACTTATCATCTTTTGTGCTAACTCATTAAGGTTTTGAGTTCAGAGCCATCATCACCATCAAATTTAGAGTTCTGTTGTTTCTCACAATCTTAATTATCCGTTTATTTATTTTGATGCATTTTTTTAACAAAGAAAGAAATTTGCAACAATTTATAACCCAGCCGCTTCAAGAAAATTTTTACTAAGGTTTTCTGATTGGTTAGAAAACAGCACAATTACACAAGTACATAACAGTATAACACAATCTACTAATGTTTCACCATATTCAAGCAAAGCGAAAAAATAAAAACAGAGCCGTCTGAGGTTTAATATATGCTAAACATTAACCTTAAGGGTATAACGTAGACAGTTCATTCTTCTCCTCTTAATTGTTTCCTTTCATCTTCCTTCTCATCCCAACAATAATTACATAATCATAATCATAAACCTACCCTCATCATGTCCAGAGAACATATGTTGAACCTCATTTTTTTCAATATCTGGTTTCCATTTCACAGTTTGATACTTTGCAAAATCATAGTTCATCCAAAACAGAAGGTACTAATTAAAGAAAAACAAATATCCATTTCATTTACTGGAGCAAGAACTAGTACAACAACAACATTACTCCAGCGTCTCAAAGGCTCCCACCTACGGTCGGGTAAGGGGGTCAAATGAATGCAGCCTTACCCCTGACCCCCTGTACTAAAGCTGTTTTCGGATGACCCATGGTAGAGCAAGAACTATATACTCGAGGTATATATAATAGAGAAGAAGCTTAAAAGCACCTTATATGTGAGCTTATGATTTTATATTTGACCAGTCTGGAAAGATTTAATATATTATAAAAAAAGTTAAAATCTAACAGCAGTGTGGCAATACGCTTTCATATTAATTAACTAATGGTAACATTACTGGGGAAATGAAGAAATAGTGCAAGAATTTCGTTAAAGTACACTTCCCATCCATAAAAATCTACATACAATATAATTACAGAGTTATATAATTGGAACTTACAAGGTGATGATCGTAGCGCAGCCCAGAAAGAACCTGGAAGAACTGCACAGTTTGAAAGTGAGACCAGTAAATAGTTTCCTCAAACTTTTTGCAACCCATGCAGCTTGAATCCCCCATTCTCCAGCTGCCTCAAGAAAAGTTAAAAAACATAAACTAAAAACTGCGATTTAATTAATTAAATAAATTAATGAAATAAAGTAGAAGCACATGCAACTAGAAAACCAACAAAAAATACCATTATAATTATACAGAATAATTAAATAAATGATTCTAACCCAAAACTTAACTGTTGATTCTTCAAAGACTCTTGATCGAACAGAGAGACGACGGGAGGAGAATGGAGGGGAGGAGGCGTTGTTAATAACGACGCTTCTCAACCCCTGCGATGCAATAATTACTTCCGTAATGGCTAGGCAGATGACCAATCAAGGTAAATTTATGGAGTATGTATCTGTTTATGCAAGCATTAAACCAATCTAAAATTATATGTATGTAGGGATCGTACAAGAAACACAATATAAGAACCGAAAGCTAATGAATGAGAGTATATTAATCTGGATGTATGATTCAAAAAGTGGTATTACAAGTGCATAGATAATTAAGTAAGTTCCTTCCCTCTTCTACCGCCAGTCTATTTAAAATAGAATTCCCAACTCTTTTTCCCCATGCGGACGAACTATCCGGCGAAATGGTAGCCTTCTCCTACTAAATCGGGATCTGTTCCTCCATTTTCTCCTCAACCTCTTAGGCGTTCTTATCCACTTCGTCATGTCATTTGACCAAGCCGGATTCTGTGGACTCCTTAAGGTCACGTGGGCTGATCCGTCCAGTAAACTCAAATCTAATGTAATGGGCCGATTCGCTTGACAGATCCGGGCCCAACAATTGCCCCTAAAATTTGAAGTAGTAGTCGTTACCAATTTAATCCAACCGGTCGATTACTTCTTTGAATTTTAAACGTTTTGATGCTACCTCGAAATGGACAAAACCGTCAGCCTCCTTCCTCGAGTAACCAACCCTCTGTCAGAGTAGTCTCTTTTCAGTCATAATTCTTCTTTTGTGAAATACCTTTCGCTTGATTCTTGCAGAGATCCATCGTGAGAATCTATGGCGTCTCGACAGTTCATCCCTCAACACATCCTTGATCCGAAGTATGCAAAACAGGCTAAACTCTCGGAGAATCATATCGAAGCCATCAAGAATGGTTCCGGATTTCCAGCGCATGCATCCATCCGGTTTCCGGCCGCTAACGAACGGGTTGATTGGCATTGTGATGGTTGGGTCAACTTCTTCATGTATCCCTTCAAGATTGGTATGAAATTCCCTTTCTCTTCCTTAGTTAGAGATTTCTTAGCCTTTGTCAAGGTTTCTCCTTCCCAAGTAATGCCACAAGTATGGAGGGTTCTGCGTGGTTTAGAAGTATTAAGCGAAAAACACAGCATCCCCTTTTCCTTCGAAGATCTGGGTTTTACCTATGATCTTCGTTCTTCTGGAGCTGGTCGGTTTACCCTGGCCGTCAAAGACGCTCGCGAGGCGCTGATATTGAGGGCGGACAAAGCTAATGATCGTGGCTGGATGAGCCAGTTCTTCTTTGTGCAAAAAGATTCCCTAAGTTCTGAGGGCGCATTTCTTGAAGAGAGTTTACACAAAGGTATCTTGACAACTCCTTGTTTTCAAATGTATTTAATTGCTATACGGCTGGTCTGCAATACGTCGAAATTACCGTTTTCACTGTTGTTGTTTTTTTTTTTTTACTTTAGATAGGAAGACTATCCCCTTGAGCTATGGTCCAGACTCTGAAGGAAGGACTGTCAAAATTTTATCTTTAACTACTGCCGAACGGACCTTTGGGAATCTAGTGGTTGATAATGAAGGTATGTCTCCCACTCCTGACCATTCTCGGTCCGTTGGATTAAGGCGCTCTCGCCGTAATATTCAGAACATCCTTGACGATGCCCAAGATTCACGCGCGGTCTCTGTAGATGATTCAGACCATGAATCAGAGACCTCGAGGGGTGGAGGTGAAAATGCAAGTGCTTTCGTTCCTCTTCAGATGGTGTTTCCCGGTGGTCAGGATTCCTGTTCTCTTCCAGCAAAACGTTCTGCACAACACGCTGGTACTGGTTTCAGCTATCTCAATTATTCGTCAAATGTTGCTTTATTTAGAATGTTTATATATTTTCTTTTGCCGCAGCTGTTTCTTCGTCTAACACACGGCCGATACCTTCTGATTACGATCTTCTTAACATGGTTTCGAGAAAGAAGAAAATCCCATCTAAGTTGGCCTCTGGTTGTTCCAACACTTCACAATGCCCCAACACAGAGATGAAATCTGTTCCTCCTCGTCCAGTGAGTGTCACCACCAATCCTGACTCTGGTGGGAAGATGAACGCTTCTTTCTCTCGTGACTTTTGCTGTTTGAAGGATGCTCTTGTGATGGGAAGTGAAATGCCTCAAGTCCTGCTTTCCTCCTCGTCCGTTGTATTCAAGGATGTGTCCTCAGCTGGTTTGGTATTGGCTTCCTCGGCTTTTGCTTTCCAGGTATCTCGTCGTTTTATAAGTGCTTGGTACCTGTAGAGATTTAATCCTTCTTGAGAGAAATTTGTTTTAACCTGGCAGAGTGTTCAAGCTAGCCTTGTTGCTGCAGAAAGGTTGGTTCTGCTAGAAAAGGCTGTGGACGAATTAAAAAGAAAAGAGAAAAGCTTTCACGCTCGTGCTGATGTTGATGCTCGAACGATCCAAAGTCTTCGTAACGATAGTTCGATTTTAACAACTCAAATCTCAACTTTAAAAACCCGTATTAAGTCGTTGGAAGCGTATGGGAGGAAAAAGAAACAAGAGGTTACTGACGCGGCCTGTTTTTATGCTTGGAAAACCAGAGGTGAACTGATGACTTCATTCCTCGCAGGCGAGATGTCAAACTGGACTGCGGAACAGGACGTTGCTACCTGGTCAAAGCTTCAATATGAGATGGATCCCCCGATTGGAGAAGACGGTTTAAATGTTGGTCAGTCCGATAACGAGGCTGATTCCAGACGCTCCCGAGATAACTAACTGCACCCCTTCCCCTTTACTTTCTCATCTTTAAACATTTGCTTTTGCTTCCAAGACTCACTCTGCTATTACTGCTCCTGCATCATGGTTTTAATATTTTCCTGTGGATTTATGGATATTGTGCTTGGTGGTTTATCCAAGCCAAATCCATGTTGTTTGGTGATTCCGTTGCTACTCCTTTTGGTCACCTGATTGACGTTTATGTTGACGTGTGTGTTGTTATATATGTCGTTTTCGTATGTAACCTGCCCCGTGTGCGCAGAGGAACATATATGTGTTTTGTGCTTTGTGTTTTGTGTTTTGTGTTTTGTGTTTTGGCCAAAACTTTATTCGGTTTCATGGAACTTCATTCATGGTTTCTCCATAATGAGCCTCATGTCCCCTGTATGTTGATGTTTTTTGTCATTAGTAGATCTGATGTTCCATCTGTTGTTCTGGTACTCGGTCACCTGGTACTTTGATCTTAACCTGTCATAGTCCTGCGATGATACCGTTCCGTTGGGATCGGCCGTTGGTTTGGGGCCAACGGCCCTCCGACGGTCAAGTTAGTGAATGATGAACTGTATTTACTGTATTATGTGAACTGTGACTAATTACCTGCGATTTGGCCATTTTTGTGTGCCTTCCTGTATTTATAATTATCGTCAGGGTCGGTCGCTGGCCTTAAGCCAACGGCCCTCCGACGGCCAAGTTAGTTATTTAGTAATAGGGACAGAAATGCAAAAAACAAAAGAAACTTTTGTTAAAAGTGAAAACGCTTTAAATGTACCGCATTCCAACTTCGAGGGACTTGTTTCCCATCGATTGACTCCAGGCAGTATGCCCCCTGACCGATGACGTCAATGATTCTGTAAGGTCCTTCCCAATTAGGACTGAATTTTCCGGCTGCTTCATTTTCAAATGCTCTCCTCAAGACCCAATCTCCCTTCTGAAACACCTTTGCCCGAACATTTTTATTATAGCTTTTTGCCACCATTTGTTGATATGTCTGCAAACGGATCTTGGCTCGTTCACGGATCTCGTCAATGGTATCCAAGTCGTGCACCAACTCCACTCTGTTCAAATCCTCAGTCATGAGTCCATACCTCGAAGAAGGTATTTCAATCTCGGCAGGAATGACCGCTTCGCAGCCATGCACCAGTGAGAATGGGGTTTGTCCGGTTGCATTTTTCGGAGTCGTCCTGTCTGCCCAGAGTATCAAGGGCAATTCGTCAGCCCATCGGCCTTGCGCCTTTTCAAGCCTCTTCTTCAAGTTGGCAATGATAATTTTGTTGCTAGACTCGGCCTGCCCATTAGACTGCGGGTACCTAGGTGTCGACGTTTCCAATTTGATATTGTATTTCTCGCAAAAGCGTCTGGTTTTAGCGCTTATGAACTGAGATCCGTTGTCACAAACGATTTCTGAAGGAACGCCGAATCTGCAAAGGATATTTCTCTTAATAAACGAAATCACCTGGTCATCTCGTATCTACCGAAAAGGCTCAGCCTCCACCCATTTTGAAAAGTAATCCGTCATTGCTAGCATATATACTTTCTGCCCCGGTGCCTCTGGCAACTTTCCTACAATATCCATGCCCCACTTCATAAAAGGCCATGGTGATAGAACTGGATGAAGCGTCTCGGAGGGCTGATGACGAATTGGTCCATGCATCTGACAGGGCTTGCATCTTTGGGTGAATGTGGTCGCATCTTCTCTCATGGTCGGCCAGTAATAACCGAATCTAAGAGCTTTGTTAGACAGACTTCGTCCTGCTGCGTGATTGCCGCATTCCCCCTCATGAAGATTTTTCAATGCTTTGGCGGCTTCTTGCGGTGCCAGACATCTTTGGAGTGGACCTGCAACAGATCTTTTAAATAGCACATCATCAATCAGTAAGAATTTACTTGCCTTGGATAGGAAAGCTTTTGCCTCTTTTCTGTCCTTTGGGAGAGTATTGTACTTTAAGTACGCTACGTATTGTTGTGTCCAGTCGTCTTGTGTCGGGGTCTTAATGGTAGAGGCAACCTCTGATCTGTAAATTGCCGGGCTCATCAAGTGCACATAGGGGATGTTGCGATTGATTTCTGCCCCTAGACATGATCCGACGGCGGCTAGAGCGTCAGCTTGTGTGTTTTCTTCTCGTGGGATTTGTTCAAGGGTTATTTCGTCGAATGCCGTTATCAATTCTCGGACAATTTGCAAATAAGATGTCATCTTGGGGTCCTTTGCTGCATACACACCGTTAGTTTGATTGATTATCAGTAAAGAATCACATTTTACCTCCAAGATTTTGACCCCCAAGTCCCTTGCCAATGTGAGTCCGACGATTAGCGCCTCGTATTCTGCCTCGTTGTTCGTAGCGGTGAAATCACAGTGTACTGCTTGGAGCATGGTGTCCCCCTGTGGTGACTTCAGTATCACGCCCAGACCTGCGCCGTTTTGGTTTGACGCTCCGTCAGTGTGCAATGTCCATTTTTGCTTTGGGAATCCATCGATCAGAGTGCAAATCTCTTTTTCTGCTTCCTCTTGGAGCTTTGGACTGAAGTCTGCCACAAAATCTGCAAGTGACTGTGATTTCAAGGCTGTCCTCGGTTCGAATCTTATGTCATAAGCTCCAAGTTGAATCGACCATTTAGCCATGCGACCTGTCAATTCCGGTTTCCTCATGATTGACTTCATGGGATAGTTAGTTCTAACACAAATGGTATGTGATTCAAAATAAGGACGTAATTTAATCGAAGCAACGATCAATGCTAAAACTAATTTCTCGAGTAAAGCATACCTGGATTCCGGTCCATTTAGGGATTTACTTACGTAATAGACTGGAGTTTGCTTCCCCTGCTCCTCTTTTGTCAGTACTGCGCTGACGGCGTGCTCTGAAACGGCCAGATAGAGTTGTAGCTCCTCGTCATTTTTAGGCTTTGCGAGCAATGGTGGCGACATCATATATTCTTTTAATTGTTGAAGCGCCTGTTCGTGTCGATCTGTCCACTCGAATTTTTTGTTTTTTCTCAAAACGTCATAAAACAAATGGCACCTGTCTGACGATTTTGAAATGAAACGATTCAAAGCCGCAATTCGTCCTGTCAACCTCTGGATATCTTTGACGGATTTTGGAGGTTCAATGTCAATAATTGCTCGTATTTGTTCCGGGCTCGCCTCTATTCCTCGTTCACTGACGATATATCCTAAAAATTCTCCTGATGTCACTCCGAAAGTACATTTCGCTGGATTGATCTTCAGATTGTACTTTTTCAGTCTTCTAAAGGGTTCCGTCAGATGATAGATATGATCCTCTTTTTTCTTTGATTTGACGATCATGTCGTCGATATAAACTTCCATGGTGTCCCCCATTAGATCTTTGAACATTAAGGTGACTAGTCTCTGAAACGTCGCGCCTGCATTTTTTAGTCCAAAAGGCATAACAATATAACAATACGTACCTGTTTCAGTGATGAAGGCTGTGCTTTCTTGGTCATCAGGGTGAAGCTGTATTTGATGGTATCCACTGAATGCGTCCATGAAGGATAACATTTCATGCCCGGCCGTAGCGTCAGCCAAAGCGTCAATGTGTGGCATTGGAAATGAATCTTTGGGACACGCTTTGTTCAGATCAGTGAAGTCCACACAGACTCTCCATTTGACTGGCTTGCCTTCTTCCTGCCCTTTCTTTTTCTGAACAACAACAACATTAGCTAACCAATCGGGATACTTTACCTCCTTTACCTTGCCGGTTCGGAGCAGCGTGTCAACTTCCTGGTTTATTACAGCGTTCCTTTCTTTTGCAAAGCGTCTTCTTTTTTGTCTGACGGGTTTGTGTAATGGGCTGACGTTTAACCTGTGAGTTATGATATTAGGATCAATACCTGTCATGTCGTCGTGGCTCCATGCAAACACGTCCTTATGTTCTTTGAGGAAGTTTATCAGTTCGTCTTTGAGGTGCTTTGGTATGTCTTTCCCGATGCGGATGACCCTTTCTGGATGTTCTGAGTCGATGGCAACTTCTTCTGTTTTGTCGTCATCTTCCACCAGAGCGGGGTCACCCTTTAATTGCTATGCGGTCCTGGAGGCAGTTTGGTCCGCAGTTGGCTTCATCGCTGTTTGGTAGCAAGACTTGGCTGACTGTCGATCCCCCTTGATGCTTTGTACTCCCCACGGTGTTGGGAACTTGATTATTTGATGATAAGTCGATGGAATTGCTCCCATTTGATGCAACCAGGGAGTTCCCAGTATCATGTT